TGTAAAGTTAATATACATCTACCTTAAGATGTGTTCAAATATAAAGATGTAAGACTGTTACATATTTCATTCTTATTTGTATACAACAAACAGTTATTTGTTAATTATCATACAAATTAGTGAATATGACATCACTTGTTAGTTTGGCAATGGTGGCCATAGTGTTCAACTCTAAATATTCTGAGAGACAGCTTTAAAGTAATTTTGGAAACCTCCCTCAAGACAAGTCTTTTGGTTAATTACTGTAAACGCAGAAATTTTCGTGGAGGATTTAATTTCGTTTATTTCGTGGAAAGAATATATCAACGAAATTAAAACCCCCATGAAAGTTTAACCTACATATAATATCACTACCATTTAATGGAAACCACAAAATTAAATCCCCATGAAATTTTATATAGAGACAAAACAACGAAATTTTAACCCCACGAAAATTTATGTTTTTACAGTATCTGATTTCCAAAAAAAATCACTTAAATTCCTTTAATTCCACTATATATTCCACTCTAAATAACTATTTGTCCTGTAAAAACTATATTCTTCCTAAAAAAAAAACCAAACTGACTGAAATGATTTAATAACCATTTTATCATTTGAACATCATAGAAAACAAAGCAAAGTGGGGTCTAAAGCATATCTCCCATAGAAAACAAAGCAAAATGGGGTCTAAAGCATATCTCTCATAGAAAACAAAGCAAAGTGGGGTCTAAAGCATATCTCTCAAAGAAATCAAAGCAAAGTGGAGTCTAAAGGATATCTCTCAATAAAAAGTGTTCCTTACATAGTGATCTACAATTTACCACTTTTATCTCTAAAGGTTTATTTGACAAATTGACATCTGATATATAGTTCAGGTTTTATGAACTGAATATCTAAAATGTCTAATTGTAAAATCACTGTAAGACTTAAATATTTTTTCTTAATTTTCTGCTATAATATGAGGAGGGGTTGTCATGGTGTAATGGAAATTTTATTACCAGATGTTTCCCTGCATTAATTAAAAACAAATAGGATTTAATTTGCTTAATTTAATACTGAAGTCAAAAGCTAACAAAACCTTTAAACAGACTTATTAAGAAGGGATATAGTTATGATACTGTTGTCAGGTCATTAAAGATTGCATATTTTGGCTTTAATATTGATTCACTTATAGGGTCTTTGCATCGGAATTAAACATATTTATTCTAAAACCAGTTGTTGGCATGACACGGGTTATGTTCTTCTCATATATTTTATGATGGTATAATACTAAACCCCTAACAGGAGGGATTGTGCCTGATATTCATATGATGAAGACATAATCTTTCAATCAGTTTAATTGAGGTCTGGAACTGGCATGTCAGTAACTGCTAGTATAGTCTCTTGTTATTTATGTATTATTGTCATTTTGTTTATTTTCTTTTGTTTCCTATTCTGACATCGGACTCAGACTTCTCTTAAACTGAGTTTTACTGTGCGTACTGTTGTACATTTGTATTTCTACATTGGCTAGAGGCATAGGGGGAGGGTTGAGATCTCAAAAAAACATGTTTAACCCCGCCGCATTTTTGCGCCTGTCCCAAGTTAGGAGCCTCTGGCCTTTGTTAGTCTTGTATCATTTTTAATTTTAGTTTCTTGTGTACAATTTGGAGTTTAGTATGACATTCATTATCACTGAACTGGTATACATATTTGTTTAGGGGCCAGCTGAAGGACGCCTCCGGGTGTGGGAGTTTCTCGCTGCATTGAAGACCCATTGGTGGCCTTCGGCTGTTGTCTGCTCTATGGTGGGGTTGTTGTCTCTTTGACACATTCCCCATTTCCATTCTCAATTTTATGTATACATGGGTACATGCAGTTATATTGCAGATTGTGAAATTACTGTTTTAGTATTTTTTTTGCTAAGCAATCTTATAATTTAATGCAGACAGTAATGAAATAGTTCTTTAATCAATATGCACATAATTGTACTTGAAAGCTACATCACATAGGAAACAGCTGATGGAAAATTTCCCAATATTTTAGCTAAAGCTGATTAAGTAAAAATCAATATGATGTCTGAGATTTCTGGCAATCCTCAACCATTACATCACCAAGCATACATGGAAAATTAATTATCAGTAATAAAAGAGGATCTTAAGGATTATATAAATGGAGGCAAGGCAAAAAAAGTATTTAAAAGACCTACTTGAAGAAAGAGATCTGTAATTATATAGATATATCAGGCTACAGTGGAGATGTCATATGAATTTGTATAAATGTTTAAAACTTGAAATGGCACAGAAGATTACTTGAAAAAAAAATTACAAAGAATAAAATGTTGTCATCAGAGATAATTTTTAGTTTGATATTTACATGAAATTTGAACCCAACAGTATACCTCTTCTCAGTACTGTAGATGTTTTTGTTTAAATACTTCCTTTTCTAAGTGTATTGTTCATTAGATTGTAAAGTGATGGATTTTTTTGTAGAGGGAAGCAGTCTGTTTTGTTTGATCATGCTGGACATGCATGTACATCAAATTTTATTATGAATCCATGAATATGACGGGGCCATTGACCTTCGGTACAAAAACATTTTTATGGATGTTATGTTGACATTTTCTGTCATAACCATTATTAATTATTCATCATGAAGTTATTGTTTCTAGTTATAAAATATTTAATGTTTAAAAGTTCCTGCCTGTTTAAATAATAATTTTAAAGAAGAGATATTCGAGAAATGTGTTTTAATTTTTTCCTGGAAGGATTTAAATTTATCTCAACTTGTAAATAGAAATATGAATTTAAAGAGTCCAATTATATTTATAGGGGTTATTGAAAAGGAAATAATTTTTTTTTTAAATTTTGATTAAAATAAGAATATCAAAAGTCCCAATTATATTTTACAGGATTTTAAGAAAAGGAAATATTATGTTTAAGAACTTGTACATTTGTTATAACAAGACAAAACAGAAAACTTGGCTTATAACAATCTGGTTATAAATCCACTGTAATAACGGAAAGTTTCTTAATGATTCCTTATTGTAATCATGTCACCATTTTGTAAATTTACCTACAATAGACGTGTTAGAGAAGAAAATTAAAAGATATCTTGGGCAGTATGAATATTTAGTTCAATAAGGTCTGTCAACTCCATGGGGAAAAGCAACTCAAAATAAACATGATAATGAATTTAAATCAATATATATATGAAGCTGATTACAAAATCATAGCCGTGATCCCTATTTGTATATGGTATGGAAAACCACAAAAAAATAATAAAAGACAATAACAAAAATTCGGACATGCAGAATGTCATGTACTCTGAATTCCTACGAATGAAATAGCTCAATCTTGAATTTCTTAAAAAAGGTCTCTCTGCCTCTCTCTGAAAGTTTCATTAAAATCAAGTGGCTCAGGTTGAGGAAAAGTTGCTGATTAAAAAGAGTGGTTTGTACCCCTTGAAGTTACAAATACAATATCCAGTCTAGGTCTTGCTTAAAAAAAACACAAATCATTTAGATTAAATACTATAGTTATTCTAGTGATAGGATAGTGTTGTAAATTCAGAAATTATTGCATGCATTTATTATTGCGATTTTTCAAGAATGGACAAAAATGTGAGTTTTATTATTGCGATTTCGAAAAAAGTGCATACAGGTCTATATTTCGGTTATCAGAATGTGAGTTCTTATTATTGTGATACTCACCAAGTCGCATTATTTGCATTAATAAAAACCTTGCAATAATTTCTGAATTTACAGTACATAAAATGGCTTAATAAACCTTTTTGAAACATTTGAAAAGGATAGTTTTGGGGGTTTTTACTGTATTTTTGCTGCTTCACTGCATGATTGTTTTATTTTATACTAAAGTACACTGTATTCCACCCTGTTATTTAAGAAGAGATGAGTAATATACTGTATTTCAGCCTAATATTAAAGAGAAATTGAATGATAATCTGTATTTTGGCCTATTATTAAAGAGCGAAAAACTTTATCTCAGCTGCTATCAATATCTGTTTCATTATCTTTCATACCCTGTGTTAATTTAGTACAAACATCTCTTTAAATACATGCAAGGCGTTTAGTTTATTGTGATATAATTGTTTAAAGTAAGCAGGAAAGCTTTCAAAAAGATTTTTTTTTCCTAATTTAAACTCAACTGAAGTAAAATTGCACCTGGAAGCATAGTGATTTATAGGGCACACTCTATATTGTATAACATGTATGATGTAAAACAGATTATTTAAACATGTACATGTAGGTACTTTTGAATATGTGTCATAATTAATTGGTATAAAATAATGTACAGACATGACTTGTATAGATTATATCAAAAGATAAAATTATAAAAGCAAAATCAATATGCTTGAGCACACACTTTGATAAGTTTAGTACAAAAGTACAAAAAAATTATAGGCTGAATAGTTAATCCTTTGAAGAGACAGACTTCTAAATTGTGGTCTGATTGCCTTACTTTTAACAATGTTTGAGGAAACTACATAAAACAGAAGAAGTTTGTACTCTTCATGTATAATCAAATAACCGTACATGTATTTTGAAAACAAAAAAAAAAAGGTATTTAAATTTACCCAAAAATGAATGAATTTCATAAAATAATAAAAAGAAATTCTCATATGCGGTAAATTGATCATGGCAACAAAATAAAAGTTTGAAATGAAACATCCATTTCAGCTTGGTCGATCACTAATGCCTAGAGTAGCAGAGGCAGGATTGATGATTTTGAAGTAATCATGACTAATGTGTCCATATCTTAACATAGTTAATGTAAGAGAAGATGATATAGCATTTTGTAAGAAGATAACTTTGCACTCAAGGCATAAGCCACATATCTGTTTTCAAAGCTGTAATTTGGCTGAAGTTTTGACAGATTTATATGTAATGATTAGAAAAATAGTCACAAATTTTACAGTAATATACTTATTAACCTAGAACTATATAAATATATTGGTGTTGCACAATTCTATTTCTGTAAATGAACTGTATAGCCCATACGTCCTTTAATTTTGTTTTCCAGGTGTTGGTTATGGTATGGTTATAATCTCTGGCATAGTGTGTGTTTACTACAACATTATAATAACATGGACATTATACTTTCTGTATATGTCCTTCAGAGCGATCCTGCCGTGGAGCAGCTGTGATAATTCTTGGAACTCTGAGAATTGCTACTTACATTCTGACAACGAAACCACCGATGAAAACTCAACTTCTTTCATGTGGAATTTAACTTCTGTTGGAAATGTGACACATGAATTGTTAAAGTATGACAATACAACAGGAATGCTCAAAAATGAAACCTTGAAACAGATAACACCCAGTGAAGAATTTTGGGAGTAAGTTTTTAACAATCAATTAACATACCACAAAGTCTCTTTTATTTTCTGATTTGGTTGTATTTATGTTAAAATATCATATTATAACTGAAGTATGCTATAAGCAAAAAGCACATACTAGAAGAATTCAGAAAATTTATATTTTATAAACTTATTAATCAGATAATTATTTTTTAACATCTTTCATGAAAAAAAACCCTCTGGTTATTGAAATAAATAGTTAAAACATTTTTGAGAACACATAAGAAGTTATGGATGAAAAAAATGCTAAATATAATACAATTCTAGAAAAAGTAGAAAAATATACAAATATTGCAAAGATTATAAATAATTATGTGTACTATTTTTTCAGGAATCGTGTGTTAAAGATGACTGATGGGATAGAAAACTTTGGTGGCATCAGATGGGAACTGTTGATATGTCTGGTTATTGCCTGGGTTCTGGTGTTCCTCTGTCTTTGTAAAGGGGTCAAGTCATCTGGAAGGGTAAGAAATGTTGCTGTTCTCCATTTGGCTCATAAGATTTCCTTTTGCTAGATGATTTGTACTTAGCATATTTTTACAAAAGTTTGGAGTCAGTATATAAATAGAATTAACATATACTGACTAATAACTTTTGCAACCACATGATGTCAAAAATTCACTCCTGCAATTGGTCAAGGGGAGGTAATCCAAGAAAACAAATGATGGTGTTTCAATTGCATGTTAATGTATATGAAATAAACATGAAACTGGTTTGATCTTACTTCATGAGAACACATCAAATTTACTATTGTGAACATATGCCAGACACTTAAAAAACACCAGTCATCACTATTTCAGATCATCAGAATGTTTCAGTGGTATATAGATGTTCAAGCAAAATCCATCCACTAAGAAAATGTCTGCTAAATATCCTGTAGCCCAAATATTAATGTTTACAACCGACACATCTCTCCATAACACAAGATGTCTCTGTTGAAAAAGTAAAATATATGAACTGTAATGCTACTTTAGTTTAACACTTTATTTATAGGAAGTGTACACAAGTGAAGTGGTTTCCTTGTACTGAATACAATAATCTCATTATATTTTTTGACAGGTTGTGTATGTAACAGCCACATTTCCGTACTTGGTTTTGTTAATCTTATTGATAAGAGGAGTGACTTTACCAGGGGCATCAGAAGGGCTCAAATTCTACCTCATTCCACAATGGGAAAAGTTAGCCACATTTCAGGTAATGCTCTAAAAAAATCATTAAAAGTTGGATGTAAAAACTTAATAATTTGCTTGTTACACTTAATTTTCAAAATGTTTTCAAGTATTTATATAGAATACAAAATGAAATCAGTCATTTTCTGTATTTCACTGCAATTCTAAAAAGTTTTAATATGTGTCTCTTTTTGGGCTTGATAAACTTGTAAGTCTTATGAAATACCTTTGAAAGGCTCAAATGCTATAGGGAAAAATAAGCACAATTCAGAGTGCACAGAAAAAAGGTGAATACATCAATATTTAAGCACATACTTTATACTATTCCTTATGGACAATTTAATTTAATGGTCTATTTATAGGTGTGGGGAGATGCTGCAGTACAGATATTTTACTCTGTTGGTATGGCCTGGGGAGGACTTATTACAATGGCTAGTTACAACAAATTCCACAATAATGTATACAGGTAGGTGCACTTGTATAAAATAAGAAATGACTGCTATCATTATGTTCTAAAAAGCACAGACTTATTGTGGGAAAATTCTTGTGTTACAGTAATAGTTAGTTTGAATATTGCTGAAAATAATTCAGTTGCATATAGTATTTTGTTCAAGACAATTGGGGAAAATACTAAGGGCTAACTGAAAAAATTCCAGATACTCCAAAGTTACTTTTGCTTCATGACCTAGAAATATGTAAATGTTCCTCCAGTTTGAGAATAAAGCAGTTTTATTATCACATAGTTAGTCTTCAGTACAAAACAAGAAAATCAACCTAAGGTTACATTATTCTTTTTAGTGATTTGGTTCTTAGAATAAAGGTAGATAACTCTTGTTATCATTTTAGATAAAACTTTACTGAAACAACACTGTTGATGTGGTATGATTGCCAATGAGATAACTATCCACAAGATACCAAATGATGTGGATATAAGTAACTATATATATATATAATAGGTCACAGTGCAGCCTAAAACAATAAATAATGCTGCATAAGGGAGTAAGAATGGAAAGAAAATGTGTGTGGCAAAGGAACTTTTTGTGTTGATCAAAACCTTATTTGACAAGAAAGAAATTACTCTTTTTATTTATGGAAAAAAAAAAAAAAATGGATGTGTTTAAATCTGGTTCCAGTGCCTATGAAATGTTTCAAAATTTCCTACACTGTTAACAACTTCACAGGCCCAGTTTTGAAGCATTCTGTCAGCATTTATGCGTATGCACATATCAAGATTTGCCCTCTAGGACCTTGTTATGAGATGCAAGTAAATTTTAATCTGTATGTCTCTGTTTAGGAAATAATTTCTAAATTTAAAATGTAAACCTGTGGTAAAATTTAATTTTCTTGTATTTTTAGAGATGCTATGATAGTGCCATTGATTAACTGCGGAACCAGTATTTTTGCCGGACTAGTAATTTTCTCCATTCTTGGATTCATGGCTCATGAGACGGGTGACAGGATTGAAGATGTTGTTACACAAGGTAAAAATATGTATTAACTTAACATGTCCTGATAGTTCTTGTATCAATAAACACCAAGAGAAGAGGCTTTGTTGATTCAACTTTTTTCAGAATACCTTTATTGTAACATGTCCTATGATAATTGTCAAAATCAATTGATTTTTTGCACATTATCTGGACATTAGATTAACTTCATTATTATTTAAGGAAACAAATTATGGAGACAAATTATGGACGTTAGTAAATCAGTGTCTACTTTGAAAAAAAAATGTATCAATGTTTTTGAAGTCAGTATTTATTTATTATCTTTCAGGACCAGGTCTTGTGTTCGTAGCTTACCCAGAAGCTGTAGCTAAGTTACCCATTTCTCCATTGTGGGCAGTACTTTTCTTCTTGATGTTACTGACCATTGGACTGGACAGCCAGGTAGCTTGATTTTCTGTCATTGAGGATAAGAATTCTGATATAAGTTGTACACCAAATCACAGTCATTATTATCTAAGGAATTGTCACACCCTGCTAGATGCTGTCAAGGAAATTATTTTTTTTCCTGTAATTTTTAATCCGCTTTTTTACAAAAAGCTTGATTAATTAGTAACCTTTAACCTATTCCATACCTTAATTGAAAATATAAATAAAATTGAGAATGGAAGTCTGTTTTCCTTTCACTTCATAAAAAGATACTTTTGTTGTTTAAATTTACATTTGATATGAAACTAGGTGCAAATCCATAAATTTTAAAAAGTAAAATCAAAGAAATGATTAAGCATCCGAAATGTTTAGACAAGGGAATTTGATTTCAAACCCTTTTGGAAATGTAGCCAAAAATAGGTGAAAAGTAGTTTTAAAAGTAAAATTAATTTATTAATACTTCTTTGTAATTGTATTTGATTGTCTTTCAAATATGTATGTTAATTTGAGGGGTGGTGTTTTCCAAATACTGTTTTGTCCTTTGTTTATTTTGTGTGGGATATTACAGCATTAAGGAGTGTTCTTTAAACTTACCTTTGCACTTTTCCTTGTGTCTAGCTCATACTTTTAAAATTGCACACAAATTCAAAGAAATTATTTATCATGTTTATAAAGTTTTTAAGTGTTGAAATGCTAATATTTCCTGATTAAATAAAGCAAAGCTGAACATCATGAGTTGACTGATAAGGCCTCCATACTCTAATGAATCATGTGACTTCTAATGTCATGTGACAGCTATTTGGTTTAATGGTAAGTTTTATTGCATTGCAGAAGTTTCAAAACAAAGTAAGATAAATCTTAGATTCAGGCAAATTTGACACTGTTGTTAAATCTCATCATTAAAAAAATAAATTGACATTAATTTTAAGAATTCAAGTTACATAAATTACCATGTTTACAGTGAGAAACAGATGGTAAACTCAACAATTGTTGAAAATTATAATATAGCTAGGCAAAAAGTAGAAATACAGGGGGAAATTTTAATTTTGGTACAATGTTGTAGATGGGTTTTGCACTAAAATCTAAGATTTATATTACTTTTTCCCAAATAAATAGAAAAAAAAAATATAAATCCCTGTCTTCTCCTTATTTTTGTGTACTCAGTTGTCTTGATTTGTTTACCATATTTCAAAAAGTATCTGTGAACTGTTATTTTTTGGTTTCATCTCATAATTGAGATTTATGCACTATTCCATATAAAAGGGATGAAACCAATGAATTCAATTCAAATACTTGACAAAAATAAAAATAAGATAAAAAAGTATTTGTGTTTTCCATTTCAAAATTTGTATGAGATATATCACAAACCTTGTACAACTGATTACTCAAATGTCTTAACCAATCAGAACTGTCCAATCATTTTTGGTTTTTTTTTATTGGTCAACTGATGATGTCAGTTTTGTATGAAGACTGTGATCTGGTGTATTTAGTTAAAAAGTTTTACCGGAATAGATGACACACATATACCTTACTATAGTTACATTTTTAATTTCTTTAGTGAACATTTAGTACTACTTTCTTAACAAAATGTCTTTTATCCTTTAAATATGCAAGTTTTTTTTTTTTTTTTTTTTTTTTTTTAATGTGAAATTAAAAGAAAGTCATGTTAGATATTTCATCAATTTATGTCATAATTTGAATTTTGAGGTTAAGTTAAATTTCAAGACGGATTTTACAAGAAACATAAGATATCCAAGTAATTGTAGTGTAAATGATGACTTCATGTAATGGTATCCTATTATTTTATAGTTTTCTAAAATATCTTGTTTTTTTTTAATAAATTTCTGCAATTTTTATGTCATCTATTCTTGCATCATTTCATTCCATCCTCATAATCATGGAGTTTTTGATAGTTTACAATTTAAAGAAAATTGTATTTTATGGGCAAAATGTTAAAATTATTTATGAAAGGAAAATGGTATTTTTAGGGGAAAGTTTTTGTCTGATCTGCTAAAATTATCGTTCAGACTGGTGCAAAATTTGTATAGTTGTTTCATCTGGTTTAAGATAAACAATACAAAATTAAATGAACGAACTATCAGATCCTCTTCTCATTCACATTTTGTAAAAGTAATTTCATGGTTTAAATGATTTCAAGATTTCCAAAGCAGATATAATCTGCTCCAAACATTCAACAAAGAATAAAAAATCTGAACTTTAACAATATGTTTTAAAATAAATTCTTTAAGGTTGTTCAATATCAATTTTCATTTATCATATTAAATTTGTTTAGAAATGATAAAAAAAAGTAGTGCTTTAGATAATTTTAAAAAATACTAAAAAAATAAAAATTTGACGAATAGATTTGACCATGGGATTACTTGTATTTCACCTTTTTCATCTTGTCTTGGAAGCATCTGTATAACTAGATCTTAACATGTATTTTTGATCTTTATATAATAGATGTATCGACTTCCATCAACGCAATCAGGTAAATGTGAGAAAGTGCAGAGAAAAAGGATAGAGGGTTAACCCAAGTTTAAGACTGAATACTTTTTAGACAACAATTTAAATTATTTGCATCGAAAGCAAAATAAATCTTTTTTGGTTTTGGAGTCAAGTAATGGGTTAAACTAATTGGGTAAAGAGATTGTTTATTATAGGTTCATTGCATATGTTATATGTCAATTTTCATAATGAAACAGTATGGAAATTAGAAATTTTTTTTATATATAAATACAATTTGCACAGTTTTTATGAATCCTTTGGTTAAATTTAGGAAAAAAAGATATTACACTTCTGTAACAGACATTACAGGGATCATAAGAACTTTTAAATGAATATGGTTTTTGTAAATTCGGATGGTTGTGTGAGCAGTGTGTGAAAGTATAAAAACGCGTCCGTGATGGAGACTCTGGAAGTGTGTACAAGGCAGGTTCCAGCGGTAGTCATAGTAAGATGTAAACAAATTAGAGGGGTGTAGGGGGGTCTTTATGGGAGGAGGGAGGATTGGGTTATCTCCCCTTGGGGAAAAGGGTATACAAAACAGAGACCTGTCTATGGTTCATTAGGTGGTTGGGAGTTACCTAGAAGGGATATATGTTCTATTATAGTTTATATTATATGGAAATGCTGGTGCTGATTAACTAGAAAATATACAGGTGAAATGCATAGATATTGTATTTTTCGTACACTAAAATAGATATGCTCAACTCAAAAATGAGGTGAGAACTTTTTAATGGTGTTATTTTTTTTTATCTGTATGTTTTCTAGTTATCATTTACTGATTGCTTTCTTGTTTGTACAGATGCATGCATATTGCCTGGAAGAAATTGGTTATCTGAAAACTGTTAGTTTAAGATTTCTGGAAAATTAATTTGCATTTAAAATGTACAAACAAGAAAGCAAGGATCAGTGAATTTAATTGAGTATTGTAAAGCTAATAGTCAAAACAAATGACAATTTTGCTCTCACAGACCTGTGGTGTCCAGAAGAAGACAGAATCCTGGGTGCCACAGATGTTTAATAATAGTATGATTATCAACTGTTAATTGTCAAAACAGTATTTTGAACGTAGTTTAGGGGAGTTAATCTGAATTAAGTTTGATCAAATTCTCCAAAAAGTAGTCCAAATAAAAAGTTCGAAAATACTGTTTTGATTGAACATATTTATACAACTTTTATTTAATTGTAGGATATTATTTCAAAGCGCATAAGCACTCATATTTATTGGTTTTGAATTAAATACAACATACTAACATATATAGGAAGATTAAGCATTGTAGTAAAGACATATACCTTGCTTGATTGGCAATGTTTTTATGGTAATTGTCAAAATTTTGTACTATAACAACTGTTTCATGCAAATCTATTAAATTGTATTGTTTCATATCATTAAATATGGGTGCTTCAACATTAAGATATAAATCAACTCACAATCTAAGGTCTTGAAAATGGAAACTCAATATTTTTGAAATATCATATTGAATTATTCTCATTTAAATAATGATATTTGATAAATCTACCAAATATTTTACTTATTATTTTTAATTGAAATGTAATAGTACATGTCTTATTGTGGGTTGATACATTGAAGCTGGGAAATTATTTTAAAAATTAAATTAGGAAAAGTTTATAAATTTTCCCTTAAAGTTATAATTATTTTATTATATCAAGTCAATTATTAAAGTAAGTGCTCAATTTTCCCAGCTTATAAAGTTAAATTAAGAAATTGACAAAAAAAATTTTCTTGTGCTTATGCTTTACTTTTATTTTTATTTTAGTTCGGAATGTTTGAAACTATGACCAGTGCATTCATTGATGAATTCCCAGAATATTTAAGAAATAGAAAAGTTCTGTTTACAGCTGGCATGTGTTTTGTTGAATTCTTGCTTGGACTACCCTGTATTTTTGAGGTAAGGATTGTCTGCACATTTTAGTAATAGGTGTATTTGAGGTCAGGTATAGGAGAAAAGAGTGTCTCAGGCAAATACATCAGGCACTTTTGCCTATCTTTTTATGCACTCCCAACAAGAGTATGGGGACATTATATTGTTTAATCTTAATAGCAAAGTCATTTCGCCATCAAAATCGGTTAAACAGAGACAATGTGTGATTTTTCAAAGTGATCAAGGAATAATGCTGTTGATAATTAAATGAAATGATTACACCAACTTTGTACCTTCTTGTAATCAACTTTCAAACCAATTTAAATAATGAACCGAGCGATTGTTTGAGTTATCATTTTATGATGATTTGCATCATGAAGACATTGTGTAACTACTCTGCTGATATGTTTTATTTTCATTTATTTTGAACTAACCAGTTGTACAATTGGGTCAGTTTAGGGCTGGGAATTACTGGGGGTTGCCTGCATGGATTTCTTGCTATTCTTTTATTTAAAATTGAAGTATAAAAAATAAAAATGGCTATTGATGATTGCAAGTAAACATATACCATGTGATCAGCTGCTTGTTTTGTTTCTTTGATAATTTATTGGTTTAATATTTTGAACAGGGAGGAATCTACTGGCTACAGATCATGGACTGGTACTGTTCCACTTTCTCTCTTATGCTGTTATCTTTAACTGAATGTGTGGTTATCGGATGGATTTATGGTAAGTCAACAAAAATGGAAAAATAAATTTTTTCATTGGACAAAAATGACCATTTGCATTTTATGCTAAACATTACTATGAGAAGCAGAAAAATGATTCTGATAGCTTTTTACAAGATGCAGATTACTATCAAAATGGAATTTCATTGTATTTGATATTCAATATAACTGTAACTGACTGTTTTGTTTTTTCTTCTAATTTGCATAGTAACAGAAAAAAAATCGAAAAAAGATAATGCTTTTTTATTTAGACATAGAACCTGTGTGCACTTTAAATATAAGGGAGCTGTAATGCGCATGCTTGTTTCTGAGGTACAAACCCATCTGTTATTAAAGCTGACCCTACTCATTAGAATGAAAGATAAGCTCAAATAAAACACTTACTTTTTCACAGGTGCTGATAGATTCTATATGGATATTGAGCTGATGATTGGATACAAACCAACGATCTGGTGGAAAATTTGTTGGAAATATATCACTCCAGTAGTTATTGCTGTATGTATGACATACATTTATATATCAATAAAAATAAAGAGAGATGTAGTATGATTGCCAATAAGACAACTCTCCACCAAGACTAAAGGACATAGAAGTTAACAACTATAGATCACTGTACAGCTTTACTTTAAATTATGATTTGAATAAATACTGATACATTTTATTTAAAGAATTTTCATCTTTCATACAAATAACTTATTTATTATCTATTGGACAGGTCTAGATTTTTGTTCAAAGTTTTAGACAAATACAAGAAAATTATTTTTCTAAACTTAGCTAGGCTAAACAAGTGTTGTCTTATAGTATTTGGAGGTGATAGGCGACACACATTGTTCTTAGAAGACAGGTATATATTCTAATTTTAAGGGTTTGACACCCTCTTCATTCTCTCTGACTTCACACATGTACTATACTGTATGTCCAATATCTGACTGAGTTTCTAACCGATAAAGTTAACAAACAACTTGGTAAATCTGTTAGTTAATATATGGAATAATTACCACGAGGAATGTTACTTTTGAACAGACATTTGTGATCTTAGATAGGATAAAAAGTAAATCTCAAAGTGAGGACTGACCCATGAAACTTGTGACCAGCTGACTGTTTACCATGATCCTTTAAACAGCCTATTGTAAGTCAGGACAAAGTAAAAGATAATTATGACTCTAACAATCAATCTTGTTCTAACCTGTCCATTATTTTGATATTCAGTAAGTAATATGTACTAAAGACTTTATAATTGTATGTCATTATAGTTTGTATGGTTGTTCAGTGTTACACAGTTAAAACCAGTTTCCTATGGTGATTACCAGTACCCATCATGGGCCATTGTCTTAGGTTGGGTGCTGGGATTGGTGTCATTGGTACCTATTCCTGTTTGTATGATTATCGCTATCTACAAATCTAACGAAGGAACAATATTACAGGTGAGCAAAATACCATATGTTTAATGTGATATCATTCAACAGACAAAACAGAAGCATGATTTGAAGTACTGTAGATCAGAAATTATTGCGAGGTTTTTATTACTGTGAATAATGCGACTTGGTGATTATCGCAATAATAAGAACTCAAATTCTGATATCTGATACATATATCTGTATGCACATTTTCCTGAAATTGCAATATTAATCTCACATTTTTGTCCATTCTTCAAAAATCGCAATACTAAATGCAAGCAATAATTTCTGAATTTACAGTAAATTTGATAAAATGTAACATAAATGGCTTTTTATGTCCCAGCCTACGAGAGGGGCATTGTGTTTTATGGTCTGTCTGTTCCATATCATGTTAAAGTTTTGGTTTAAGGTAGGTTAAAGTTTTGGTTTGAAGTACTTTGTGGTTACATCAACTCAATACTTAGTACACCTGTTCATTATGTAGTGAACTGTTTAATATATATGCCAAATTAGGGTTTTGACCCAGATTTCACAGTTCACTGACCATGGAAATGTGTTAGTGTGAGCATGGTGTGACCTATCAACAAGTTTTTGGTTAGTATTTGTTAAAGTCTGATGGCAGCAACACAGTATGAACAAATTTTCATAAATTTCATCAAAACAATTTTTATGCCCCCGCTGTAGCGGAGGGGGCATTAAGTTTTAACCTTGTCCGTCTGTACGTACGTCCCAAAATTTGTTTCCTTTCTCTTATTTGAGTTTGCCTCAACCAAATGTTATGAAACTTATACACAATGCTTATTACCACAAAACACAGATCTAACTTTGAATTTTGTGGTGTCACTTTAACCGTTCTAGAGTTATGCCCCTTTATAAATGGAAAAATTGCAAAATTTTTAGTTTCCGTTCTCTAACTTGAGTTTGCCTCAACCAAATGTTATGAAACTTATACACAATGCTTATTACTACTAAATACAGATCAAGTTTGAATTTTGGTAGCAATACTCTAACAATTCTAGAGTTATGCCCCTTTATAAATGGAAAAATTGCAAAAAATTTAGTTTCTGTTCTCTAACTTAAGTTTGCCTCAACCAAATAATATGAAACTTATTCACAATGCTTATTACCATTAAACACAGATCAAGTTTGAATTTTGGTGGCGTCACTTAAATGGTTCTAGAGTTATGCGCCTTTATAATGGAAAAATTGCTAAATTTTTAGTTTCCGTTCTCTTACTAAGTTTGCCTCAACCAAATGTTATGAAACTTATACACAATGCTTACTACCACAAAATACAGATCAAGTTTGAATTTTGGTGGCGTTTCTCAAACTGTTCTAGAGTTATGCCCCTTTATAAATGGAAAAATTGCAAAATTTTTCGTTTCCATTCTCTAACTTAAGTTTGTCTCAACCAAATATTATGAGACTTACACACAATGCTTATTACCATTAAACTCAAATCAAGTTATAATTTGGGTAGTGTCACTTTTACTGTTCTTCAGTTATGTCCCTTTATAACTATGATATGCAAGAGGGGGCGTCATCTGGGCCACGTGTGGACACAATCCACATTTATTTATTCAGCTTTTCACACAGATGCATAGACAAATATACTACATGTATTTGTATATTATTAACATATTTAAAATCTTCATTTAAACTTGAATAATTTTCCAATTCATTACGTAATCAATGATTATCAATATATGACTATAAGTACTATATTTAATTTGATTTTTCAGAGAGTTCAAAAGTTGTTGAAGCCCGACAAGTCATGGGGACCAGCAGTAGAGAAATACAGATCAGAATATGAAGCTTCAAAAGAGTCCAGTTCATCTACAGGACCTATATGTATATCTTATAGAACTGATATTGTTAGCATATCAGATGTTAAAAAGCAACCTGAAGGACAAAATTTTGTTCTATGATGTGTAAATCAATAGATAAACATTTTATGATTGTTTGTGATTATTCCATCATTTTCACCTTTGTATGTTGATTAGATCTTGATAAGTTATGCTTGTGCTATCTGATAAAAGAGTTGCACATTTGCACTATTTGAAAACACAATTACACATGTGCACTAACTGATAACAGTTACATATGTTGTCTCTGCTGGACAATGTACACATGTGCTGTCAGAGACTACGCAGGATATCAGAGTTGTGCTTTCAGTATAGTTAAAAGGTCAAGTTTAATGTTAACAAAAAAGAATAAGGACACTGTGTTCAAATATGTTGACAGAATGGACATGAACAGATACTATTTGAAATCACAATTATTAGATCTGTAAAACATCTGTATGTATGTAAAAAAGTTAAAATGCATGCATAACATGGTATCAGTTTTGATGTGGGATCATAACATGGTATCAGTTTTGATGTGGGATCAAACTTATCTACCAATGTCCATTTATGTGTAGGCCTTTACTTCAGAATGATCAAAGAACAATTTTAGAAAAGTTTAGTTTATTATATTTTATATTTAAAAGATTTACATGTTCAGTTGAGAATGTTATTTAGAATTGTATTTTAATTATTGTAATACAAACTTCATCACATTACAGTCTGTTACCTACATTGTTAAAATAAGTATCTTGAGAATTGGTAAAAAATCCAAGCTATGTTCTTTCATAAAAGATCGTTTAATTTTTTTGGCTTTGTTTTATTTGTTTTAAAATTAGACTCCGAAGTCAGAAAAGTTTCTTTTTATGTGAATGGGGACTGTTTTATTTTCTTTGGAAATGTAAAGCTAATCTTATTCAAACTGTCTATTTTGCAGATTATTCTTTTTATACTAGAGAATTGGAAAGAAACTGTTAGAATTTTTTTATTTTTCTGTTTTGAAACTTTCCTTCACTCGCAATTTACTTTATCTGTTTTGAAACTTTCCTTTACTCTCAATTTACTCTTCTGTTGTTAAAAAATGTAGTAGTTTTTTTTTACATATGATGTCTAACATTTTTTATTTGTATGTCATAATTTCAACAGCAATGAATTTTCCAGCATTAATTGTTTTACGTTTATTTTAATGTAATCAATTGTTTCATTTAACTGGAAAAGGTGATTTTAAAGTGATGTTGAACATTTTACTTTGATCAAATGTAGAATTTTTTTTACAGTGCAGTATTTTATTTTTATTAATTGAATTATTTTAGATCTTTTGTGAGATATCTTATATTTAGAATCTCTATTTTTTTTTAATTCTTACTCAAAGTCAATACTTTAAATATAGAAAATACATCTAAGCCCAAATAACCTTGATGCATAATCTCAATTACATAACTAATTATATCATTGTATTTTATTACTTTGTGTAAACACAATGTCATACAGCAAATTGTGTCTGGTATATATTTTTTTACTAAAAGAAATTCAAACATATCTAAAATTTTGAAACTTTTCAAAATTAAAAAAAGAAAACATTAAGCTTTGATGTTGTCAACCAATTTGAAATATTGTAAATTTTGGAAAGTTAGGCAGTATTATATAAATTTTCTATGAATTGTTGATAATATTGTAATTATTTTACAATAGTTTTATGTTGATCGTAATACTCTTCAAGATTTTTTAATATTTTGTTGTTTTAGATGTTTATGTCTAGAACTGTTTGCTAAGGCCAATGCATTACATGTTTTTTTTTTTTATGGCCCCACAACAAAGTTGTCGGGGCCATATAGTTTTACCCTTATCCGTCATTCCGTCATTCAGCAACAAACCATTATACGCAATTTTTTTCTAAATGCCTTCAGATATTGGGCTGATTTTTGGTATGTGAGTTAACCCTGATGAGTTACAGATCAAGTTTAAGTATCGTTCTACTCTGCAAATTTTTGCCGAAATTACAGGCTTTGGACTTTTATAAATTGTTAAAAATCACAGTTATACAGACTCTTTTCTATACGCCTTCAGATATTGGGCTAATTTTGGTACGTGAGTTAACCATGATGAGTTACAGATCAAGTTTAAGTTTTGTTCTGCTCTGCTAATTTTTGTCGAAATTACAGGCTTTGGACTTTGATAAATTGTTGAAAATCACAGTTATACAGACTCTTTTCTATACGCCTTCAGATTTTGCGCTGATTTTTGATATGTGAGTCTATCTACCATGATGAGTTACAGATCAAGTTTATATTCGTTCCACTATGCTGATTTTCATGTTGTTTCAACACATCTTGTTAGGTCTGCAGTACATCCACTTCCAGTTTGAAATTTAACTACTCATTGATCAAGGAAATTTTTCATCAAACTAGTATTGGTATTGAAAGCTAGATACTATCCATGAATGTTTGTGTCCACATGTGTTGTTGAAATTGCAGATTTTTCACTTTTTGAGACAGGGCCGTTGTTCCGACACATCTAGTTTAAAACTGTTGAATACTCTTGTAATTGTACATTTTTTGTTGATTGTTTGTGTCTCAGTTAGATTTTTTCAAATACTTAAATACTGTGAGATCAAAGTTAGAAAAGTACATATGTTTCAATGAACTTTTTATCCTGCCACTTAAGGTTTGAAAATAATTCTCACGTTGTTACAAAAATCAGGGCAGCAGTAATTTACAAGCTTTGTGTTAATAAGATATATAATTAGTGAATGCAAAAGATTTCTTTTAGTTTTTTGATAGCTGTAAATTCTAATGTGTTAGTTAACCATAAAACCAGAACTTTTTTTGTCTGATAAGTTCAAAAGTTCATATTTAGAGAATCTCCTATTAATGCTATGTAATTTTTATATTAATTTGTTTGTAAAGTGCAAATATTGGATTGGTTTTATTAGTAGCATTCAATATAAACAAATGTCATCAAATGTTTTTGGTCCTTCATTTTAAAGATTTTCATTGCCTGACATTTTTTCTTGTGATGGATAAAAAATAAAAACCGAATTCAAAGTTAGCAAGACATTAAAAACCAAACTGTTTTGAAATTACTTAATTATCATACAGTAGTTTAGCAGGGCAGCATTTACAATCCAAATATAAAAAGTTTAGAGCTGACTTGCAATACTAAAAATCAATTATTTACCTTTTGGTAATTTATTTTCAAAACACAGTAGAATGTCAAATAGAATTTACTCCTTTGTTACGAACCAAAACTGGCCAAATTCAGATATTCAAAGAGTATCATGATAGAGGTAACTCTTGGTAGCATTATTTAAGACCACCATTGAATATGGTTTGTTTTTTTTATTGAATATCAACAGCATGACTATGTCAGACAGTCAGATATCAATAATGCAGATACAAAATTCACTTTAAAAGTTTTTCTTATTGAGAGTGTGCCATGATGTAAAAAAAATATGGTTCTTATTATCTTTTTTTTAAATCCAGCTTTAGTATAGGAATTGAGTTAAAAGATGAAAACAAATATTGATATTTGATAATATCTTGATAAAATTAAGATTTAAGGTAAATCTAATTTATTTCTGATACAATTAAACAACATTTTGTATTGTACAGTAGTTGTCATGAATCGTATGCTTGTTTTACATAAAATCTTATGACTAAAATTAATCAAAAAGTTATTCTGAAATGTTCACTGACTAACAGTATTTTACCCCAAGAAGTTTTTGTGATAAAAAGTTGCTATTTAGTTTTTATGGGGCATGCATATACTAAAAAAGTGCATTGTAAATTCTAGTGCCAGGTTTTGTCAGTTTACTGAAATGAAAAAAGTAATGCACAAATACAATTTAGAATTTACCTGACATTTGCCACCTCAAACAAGTTATAAAGTATTTGACTAGTCACAGGCTATTTATATACTGTAATACATTACCAAATATTTATGTCATTTTAGGTCTGTATTGTTACATAAATAAATAAAATGAATTTTACATTTTCTCTGATTATTATATTTGGAGATGGAATATCATACTGAGAAATAACCAGATGTCAAAGGGACAATTTGCAGTTAAATCCGTTTCCTGAAGTTGAAAGTTCTTCACAAATGAGTTATTTAAAACTGTATAGCTTTAAAATGCTTTGAATGTGCTTTGTCTTTTTTGTGTAAATAATTGGCTGTCTTATTTGAGGAATATTGCACATCCCCTTTTAATAGCTCACCTGGCCCAGAGGGAACCTTATAACTTTGGTTCATTCCAAATTGACATTAGACAATAGTGAATGTAGATTCTCATTTTGATTGGTCTATTGAAAAAAGCCATTTTGTTTAGACTTTGTAATATAGAATTGAGAAGGTGTGGTTTGATTGCCAATGAGACAACTCTCCCCCAGATTGAGCATGCTATTGAGGAAACCAAGATTTATATTTCGTGTAGATGTGATGGTATAAGTACTGGAAATAACATCCTATAAAATTTAAATGTTCACAAACCAAGTGGTCAGTCTGAACCATATTTCATAGAAATGATTTAGGGATGGTTATAATTTATATTAACTTTTACAAACGTCTCCTCTGAAACTAATTTGGCAATTAAAATCAAATTTTGCCTTTTAAAGTTTTTTAGACATCAATAACTTTGTCAAACCTTCATGAAATTTTATGAAATTTGGACAGAAGCTTGTTGATGACCAAAATACAGTATCCAGAGCAAACTTTTGAAAATATTTATTTTTATTTTTCCGTATATTACTGATAAATGGACTTAGTTTTATTGTCTTCCCTTTCGTTGCAGTATGTAAGACTTGGGTATTACTATCTGGCGGCGGCGTAAACTATTTGTATAAAGCTTTATATTTCAGAAGGTAGAAGACCTGGATGCTTCATATCTTGTATGCAGATACTTCAAGTTACGAAGTTTCCGTCTGTAATATGTCCAATATCCTTGACCTCATTTTATGGTTCAGGGACTGCTTGAAAAAAATTATAGTTTTTTTGTCATGTGAATTTCTCACTTATGAGTAATAGGATAACTATATTTGGTAAATGGGTTCCTTGCAACGTCTACATGTCTGCCAGACAGGATTCCCCTGACCTTGACCTCATTTCATGGATCAGTGATCAAGGTTAAAGTTACGTGATTAGGTCCGTTTCTCAAATACTATAAGCAGTAGGTCAACTATATGTGGTGTATGGAATGATTGTAATGGGTACATGTCAGTCTGGCAGATTTCATCTTACCTTGACCTCATTTTCATGGTTCATTGGTCAATGTTCAGTTTTTGTGTTTTGGTCTGTTTTTCAAATACCGATAGTAAAGGTCATCTATATTTGGTGTATGGAATAACTGAGGTGTACATATTTGTCTGGCAGGTATTATCTGACCTTGACCCCATTTGCATGGTTCATTGGTCAATGTTAAGTCTTTGTGTTTTGGTCTGTTTTTCAATGGTCAACTATATTTGGTGTTTAAAAAAATTGTAAGGTGTATTTGTCTGTCTGACAGGATTTATCTGACCTTGACCTCATTCTCATAGATGTTTAAAAAAAACCTTTATCTTTAAGACTTTCAACATAAAATCAATGGTCAGAAAGCAGGTGAGACATTTCAGTGTGTGCACTCTTGTTACAATTAACATTCAGGCTCAGTCTTGAGGTTAGAGTTTTTATACCATCGCCATAATTTATGGGGTTATCGGTGTTATCGTCGTCGTCTGAAGACATTTGGTTTCCGGACAATAACTTAAGAATAAGTGTATGGATCTCTATGAAATTGTACCACAAGGTTCTATACCACAAAGTTAGGATTGATTTAGGGGGTTATTGTCATATTTGTAAAAGAATAAGGGCCAAAAACCGGCATTTTTCTTATTTCAGATCAATAACTTGTGTATAAGTGTATGGATCGTTACGAAATTGTACCACAAGGTTTCATACCTCAAAAGGAAGGTTGGGATTGATTTTGGAGGTAAAGGCCGAACCGTTTATGAATTAGGGGCCAAAAAAAATGTATTTAGATTTTTGATATTGGACCATAATAGGTAAATGTCCAATTTCAAATTTTTAAAGTACTAAAACCACATTCATTCTGTGTCGGAAACTATGCTATGTCGAATATTTAATCAGAATCCAAATTCAGAGTTGTATTGCACAATTAGTAGAAATTGAAAGTTGAGTCATAGTTGAAAATAGATACAGCATCAAATCTTATTTTAGAGAAGAAATTATTTACAAATACAGTTTGAAATTTAGATTTTTTAAGGACTTTGTATTAATGAGAAATGATATTTTGGAAATCGTTTTTTTTCCCATATTTTTGTGTAATTTTTTTTGAAGAACTTCGTGGTAGCTTTGTTTGTTATTCTGTATAAATTAATTTTCAGAATGTTATATATATAATTTTTTTTTATGAAGCAAACCACTTTAAAACCTTCGCTATTATTGTCCATTAAAAAAAAAAAGTTGAATTCTTGGTGTACTTGGATATGCTGATACAAGTACAAGTCCAATTTCAAATTTTTCAGTTCTTTGACCACATTCATATTCAGCCTCTGTAAAAAAAATCTATGCCGTGTCAAATGTTTGATCACAATCCAAATTCAGAGCTGTATCAAGCTTGAATTGAGTGTCCATACTTGCCCCAAATGTTCAGGGTTTGACCTCTGCGGTCGTATCAAGCTGCGCCCGGCAGATCATTTTATTCAGTCATCAATAATTTTGTCAAACCTTCATGGAATTTTATGAAATTTGTATCCAGAACAAAATTCTGAAAATATTTATTTTCATTTTACCATATTTTTACTGATAAATGGACTTAGTTTTTATTAACAGTTAACAAGTAGATACAGTCTGCATGAGGTTACTGATAGATGGACTTAGTTTTTTACAGTTAACATTTACAGACATTCTGGGATTGAATTTTTTTGACATGATAAATTTGTAAACCTTCATGAATTGTTATGAAACTTCACCAGACGCTTATCTTCAAGACGACTAAGAAATAGCATCTAAAAAAAAGTTTGATTTTTTTTTTAATTCTGTATTTTACTGATAAATGGAACCATTTTTTAGGTCAACATTACACTTTTACACTGATAGCAGCAATCGCGGGCGAGACAAAGGGTTCTGCGGAACCCCTTAGGAAGTGTTTTGTGGGTTTCTTTGGTTATACATGTATCATGAAAACCATAACAGATGCAGAGAAACTTAAATTAGAAAAAAATGATCAACAGAACATTACCTACAAATTTGTCATGTACCAAATTTTCGATCGACTCCTTATAATGAGGAGTTATTGCCCCTGAATGATAAGTGTTATCATTTTGTTTTACATTTTTGATAAAACAATAGTAAACTAGAGGCTCTAAAGAGCCTCTGTCGCTCACCTTGGTCTATGTGCATATCAAACAAGGGACACTCTCCAACATTGTAGACGAGAATAGACTTCATGACACAAATCTCTATTTTGTTGATCTTGTATTAATGATCTTTTAGTCTGTTTAGTTTCTGTCTATCTTCTTAAGTATTTGCTCAAAACACAAAACAGGGTAAAAAAATCCTCATTTAAAGGCAATCACTTCTATGAAGAGTGACAGTCTACTAACTATATCAGCAAAATTTGACTTTTTAATAGATCTTGCCTTGCTGATCATTTTTGTGATTTAAAGTGTTTATTTCTCTATTCTAATTTAAATCATATAAGGCATAACGGAAATCTATTCTAATTTAAATCATATAAGGCATAACGGAAAAAAATGTTTCTCTCTAAATATCATAGTTTTCATGATGATAGGCAAAAATGAAAAAGGTAAAATTTGTTAGTTGATTTTATAAGAACTCCTATGAGAATTTGTCTAACAGTTTTGACGTATATGGACAATTTGTTAAGCTTATTATTCTGAACATTTTTGCTACTTTCAGATTTTCTCTATATATAACAGTTCAAAAAATTATAGACAAAACTTGCATTTTACCCCTATGTTCTATTTTTTAGCCATGTTGGCCATGTTGGTTGGTAGGCGGGGTCATAGGACGGATTTTTTAAACTAGATACCCTAATGATGATAGTGGCCAAGTTTGGTTAAATTTGTCTCAGTAGTTTTAGAGGAGACGATTTTTGTAAAAGATTACAACAATTTACAAAAAAAATGTTAAAAATTGACTATATAGGGCAATAACTCCTTATTAAGGGGTCAATTGACCATTTTGGTCATGTTAACTTATTTGTAGATCTTACTTTGCTGAACATTATTGCTGTTTACAGTTTATCTCTATCTATAATAATATTGAAGATAAAAACCAAAACCTGCAAAATGTCCTTAAAATTACCAAATCAGGGGCAGCACCCCAACCATACTACGGGTTGTCTGATTCGTCTTAAATTTCAGGGCAAATAGATCTTAACCTAATGAACATTTTTACCCCATCAGATTTGCTCTAAATGCTTTAGTTTCAGATATATAAGCCAAAATCTGCATTTTACCTCTTTGTTCTATTTTCAGCCATGGCGGCCATCTTGGTTGGCGGGCCGAGTCATCGGACACATTTTTGAAAATAGATACCCCAATGATGATTGTGGCCAAGTTTGGTTAAATTTGGACCAGTGGTTTCAGAGGAGAAGATTTTTGTAAAAGATTACAAAAATTTACCAAAAATTGTTAAAAATTGACTATAAAGGGCAATAACTCCTTAAGGGGTCAATTGACAATTTTGTCATGTTGACTTATTTGTAGATCTTACTTTGCTGAACATTATTGCTGTTTACAGTTTATCTCTGTCTATAATAATATTGAAGATAATGTCCAAAATCTGCAAAATTTTCTTAAAATTACCAATTCAGGGCAGCAACCTAACTACGGGTTGTCTGATTCGTCTGAAAATTTTAGAGCAGATATATCTTTTACCTCATGTCAGATTTGCTCTAAATGCTTTGGTTTCAGAGATATAAGCCAAAATCTACATTTTACCCCTATGTTCTATTTTTAGCCATGGCGGCCATC